TGCCACAGACAGTTCCCACACTCTGCACTGCTAGCATTACTACTTCCTACACCATTTCCTACGTCATGGACCTGTTTTCCTCCCTTCTTGTAGCATTTTAGGATTGTAGATACCTTAATGTAATTTCCATAAACAGTTCCCAGACTCCAGACTGCTCACCTTTACTACTTCCTTCACCACTTCCTACGTCACGGACCTGTTTCTCTCCCTTCCAATGGCATTTTAGGATTGCAGATACCCTAATCTAATCGTCATAAACAGTTTCCACACTCCGGACTGCTCGCCTTTACTACTTCCTTCACCACTTCCTACGTCGCGGACCTGATTCCCTCCCTTCCCATAGCATCTTAGGATTGTAGATAACTTGATCTAATCGTTATTAACAGTTCCCACACTCCAGACTGCTCACCCTTACTACTTCCTTCACCACTTCATACGTCACGGACCTGTTTCTCTCCCTTCCAATGGCATTTTAGGATTGCAGATACCCTAATCTAATCGTCATAAACAGTTTTCACACTCCAGACTGCTCGCCTTTCTACTTCCTTCACCACTTCCTACGTCGTGGACCTATTTCCATCCCTTCCCATAGGATTTGAGGATTGCAGATTCCTTAATCTAAACGTCATAAACAGTTTCCACACTCTAGACTGCTCGCCTTTACTACTTCCTTTACCACTTCCTACGTCGCGGACCTGTTTCCCTCCATTCCCATAGCATTTTAGGATTGTAGATTCCTTAATCTAATCGTCATAAACAGTTTTCACACTCCAGACTGCTCGCCTTTACTACTTACTTCACCACTCCCTACGTCGTGGACCTGTTTGCCCTCCTTCCCTATACCATTTTAGAATTGCAGATACATAAATGCCACAGACAGTTCCCACACTCTGCACTGCTAGCATTACTACTTCCTACACCATTTCCTACGTCATGGACCTGTTTTCCTCCCTTCTTGTAGCATTTTAGGATTGTAGATACCTTAATGTAATTTCCATAAACAGTTCCCAGACTCCAGACTGCTCACCTTTACTACTTCCTTCACCACTTCCTACGTCACGGACCTCTTTCCATCCCTTCCCATAGGATTTTAGGATTGCAGATTCCTTAATCTAATCGTCATAAACAGTTTCCACACTCCAGACTGCTCGCCTTTACTACTTCCTTCACCACTTCCTACGTCGCGGACCTGATTCCCTCCCTTCCCATAGCATTTTAGGATTGTAGATAACTTGATCTAATCGTTATTAACAATTCCCACACTCCGGATTGCTCACCCTTACTACTTCCTTCACCACTCCCTATGTCGTAGACCTGTTTGCCCTCCTTCCTTATACTATTTTAGAATTGCAGATACATAAATGCCACAGACGGTTCCCACACTCTGCACTGCTAGCCTTACAACTTCCTTCCCCATTTCCTACGTCATGGACCTGTTTTCCTCCCTTTCCATTACATTTTAGGATTGCAGATACCTTAATTTAATCGTCATAAACAGTTCCCACACTCCAGACTGCTCGCCTTAACTACTTCCTTCACCACTTCCTATGTCGTGGACCTGTTTTCCTCCCTTTCCTAAGCATTTAAGGATTGCAGATACCGTAATCTAATCGTCATAAACAGATCCCACACTCCACACTGCTACCCTTGACTATAGAATCAAGTAATCTTCAGTATAATCTTTGCTCAATAGTAACAACTGATGTTTTTCCTTTTGTACTGTATTTTGTTTTGCTATTATACTGTGGATAGACAAATTACAAGTCTTTTGTTTACTTTTTCCTTGTTATTTAATTCAGCCAACATGGTTACCTAGCAACCCATAAGACTAATGTTAAAAAAATGTGATTTTCAGTTTCATTTTTCTACGTAATTAGATTTTTGTTGGCAGTTCTAATTGCAGTAAACTCGTTTTTAGGCCAGAAATAAACTATATACAACGTTTGAAGAAAATCGTCGGAGCCGTTTTCGAGATCTTGGTGCAAGCATACATACATACAAGCAAACTTTGCTCGTATTAGAGTATAGGATTACATAAACAATATTGAAATGAAGTTGTATGAAGTTTTTTTTTATGTGGCATAGTAAATAGTATTTGCTTATGACATTTACTAATGGTGTTTGTATTTGATCTTGTAATATATTTCATTTCCTACCGTATTTCGTATGACCAACCCCATATTTTTGTGAATTTCTGATTATCAATAAATAGTTTTCACCCCACTGTGATGTTTTTAGTTGTTTTACATACATTGGTTTCAACATTTCTTACATACATTGGTGGCTAAAAGTTACGATTTGCTGGCCATGCCAATCGTCATCGTAATTTGGGACCGAGCAGGTTTTTACATCTCTAGGGCCACAAAATCAGCTGCCCGCTTACTTTCTAAAAAAATGAATGCATATTAAATACACAATCAGTATCCATAGCATTGCAATATAATTGTTTTATTGTCACCGGTTACCTAGCAACTATTTATTATTATTTTTGCTGATTCCTCAAATTATTTCTTCACATAACCTTAAAGTTGAATTTGTGTTGACCATCAGTGTGCATTATTATTGTGGTGAATAGTGGTAATAGGGTATAGTATGGTGAAAAATAGCGTTCGTATCACGGACCAAAATGGTTTTCCATCTCTCGATCGTTTTAAGTTCTCGACTTGGTTTCGAACTTAAAAACTATCTCGTGCCGGCAAAACTTCATTTTCGGCCCTAGTTACAAAATATACTATTACATGCAGGTTTAAACACTAGTATGTAATATGTGATTAGAAAACTAAAAACAAATTTGTTGCCTTAAATGCCTATAGATCCGGGTACCATTTCGAACCTATCTCATTGTTGATGTCAAACATATGAATGGTCAAATAAAACCGCTAAAACCACGTTATAAAACATCAAACAACAAAGTAACGCTATTTGAGAGCAGAATTGAGAAATAACTTACAACGAGATGAAATAATCATAAACCAGATACGAGCCATAACCCGCCAATGGGACAACACTGAGAGCGTATTGGCTGACATCAGTATATCACTAAATGTGGGGAGTGTGCTGCTTGTGACAATTATTGGGAGTGAAAATCGACGACTTAAAATTATTGGTAGTTTTGTGCTTCTTAATTTAAGTTTGTCCTGATGCATATTTAAGTTTCCGAGTCAGTATAGAAAATTACATACTCGAAACTGAATGAACACAATTGATGGCCATTTTTACTTTTGCCTCCTTTTTTTTCTTAATTCATTAAGCAATATAGAACACGAGAATATTTAATAGGTAACTCTAAAAATTATTACTATTGTGTCTAGTATAAAATGTATAAATTATACCGAAATAGCAAGTATTAAGTTTGAGCAATATTCTTTTTTCTACACTTAAAATTCTAACTTTCAATGTACAAAGATAAAGTACATATATTGAGGAATTAGGAATACAGGTTTTTTGTTAGGTTAACTAAATTCATTTTAATTAAATGTTGAGTCAAGGAGAAGGAAACAATGCTGCAATTTAACGACTCAACTACAACACTTCAATTTTACAATTCCTTGAATCTGTTCCCTTTAGTTTGTCAATACCCACTTTTTGTAAAATCCTTAGTTTCAACCTTCATGCATGGAAATCATGCTGATAAGAAAGACATTTATACAGCACTGAAAGTAAGATTAAGACGTTAATTTCTGTAAAAGTATATTATACCAACTATCCGCGTATTTGTTAATAATTACAAACTTACTAATGAGTGTAAAAATAGTAATTTTGATAGTTATCAAAAACAAATTAAAAACAATACAAATAAAAAAAACTACAAATAGAAATTTAAAAAAAATAAAGGTTAACTATGTTTAAAGTACAATCTAAAAACCAATAGCATCTTCAATCACCCTTTTAATAAACCACTTCAAGTAGCCAATTATATATTTCAGTCCTGGAATCCACTATCTCGTTTTAAATATCCACTCTCAGTAAACGACGTTTAAAATAAAATTGAACAAACAATCTCAATAAGCCACTTTAGTAACTTATTAAATATTTAAACACCTGAATCTGCTCCCTCCTCTTTTTTAATATCCACTCTTGGCAAAAGATATTTAGAATACAATTGAACAAACAACCTCATATCAAACTAAGGATATAGTTAAAAGCTAGCAGAGCATTTCTGTAATAACAGTCTCTTCTCTATAAGCCATTCTAAGTAGCTCATTATGTTTCATTTTCTGGAATCCATAACCTCCTCGTTTTGAATATTCGTTCCGGGTAAAATAAGTTTGAAATACAATCGAACATCAACCTCATTATCACTTCTTTATAAACAACTTTAAGCAGCTCACTAAATGTTTTCAAACTTGGACTCCGGTACCTTCTCATGATCTCATTTAGCACCCATTCCATCATTTAGATGTTCGTTTGAGCATTCTGGAATAACTAATGAAAAAATGCTCTAAATACTTTTAAATATCGTCTTACATCACAATAAAAGTATGTATATTCCTGGACTTGACTGTGATTTCCTCGGATTCAAAATAAATACATTAAAGCCATACCGATAAAACCTGGTACATTAGTTGCACAAAAGAGTTCCTTAATTGCGCCAAGCCCACAAAGGGGCCCAAAAGATATTCCTAGGTTGCGCCAAGCCCAAGCTAGATAGGGGTGAGTTGCCGGCGGAAAGAATGTCCTGGTTTACGTGTTATCCCTAAGCTAACCTACCTAACTTAACCTAACCTACTCAATTACACAGTCAAAGACGTATCGGGTGGCTCCCTGGAGTAGTTGGCGCAATTCAGGAATACCCACCTATCTGACTTAGGTCAGTTGGCACAATTAATGCCCGCCCAAAAACTACAGTAGCAATAATTTACGTTTAAGTAGTATACCTGGAATAATATTGGCAATCTAAAAATGCACATGAAAGACACAAGCAGCTAGGAATGTTTGAAACATTTCAACCACAATTTGAGATATTTTAAAGGTTATGAAGTGAGCTTTACTCTACTCACGTTTCCCAAGACAGTCTCCGGGGTGTAGTGTCTCCGCCAGCCCTCTGATTGAGCAGCCTGGCCAGACGACCCAGGGTGGCGCTGCCCGTGGACAGCCGAGGGGCGGGGGAGGGAAGCTGCAGCTCTGCCCCGGTGGTAGCCTCTGGTGAGCTGAGGCGGTGATGAGCGAGATGACGACGAGGGTCTGGAACAAGGAGGAGTTAGAAGAGGATGCGATCAGACAAATGCTCAGAACTGGGTAAACAAGCAATACAGGATAGGCAATGTGTGAATAGGGGAGAAATGCACGGTGGGACCGACAAGAATGTCGAAAATGCCGATGGATAGGGATGAAGAAAATTCCGGTGGAGAGTTCGGTGCAAAATTTCGGTTGACAGACGAGGAACGAAGAACACACCGTTGTAGACAGACAAGAAGTTTAGAGTCCTTGGAGGCTAGTGGCCATCTTGGATAATTTCAAACAACAGCGAAAGAGTTTTTTATCACTCAAAAACATTTTTTCAACACCAAAGTAATTATATTTTAAATTTCTAGTATACTGTAGGATTAGAAATGTTCTTTGAAGTTTTGGATTGTTTTCCAAGGGAATCCATGGAAGCTAAGGGCCATCTTGGTTTTGCCCGTCATAAGAGAAATGTTAATTTCGTTCATTTCAAACAGCCGTTGAAGAGTTATTTAGAATCTAAAAATATTTTTTCAAACACCAGAGTGGTCGTAATTTAAATATCTAGTATACTGTGGGATTAGAAATGTTCTTTGTTTTCTGTTAACACTTCGTTGTTATTTCTCACCAGCATGGCGACGGCCCAGGTATTTTTTAAAATTTTACCAAACCCGCCATGTTAAACTTCCCTAGACCCAAGCGTGATGTATAACTTCTTTACTTCACGAGTGATGTAAAGTTGAAAAAACTCACTCGGTGAGGTAATGAAACCCATTTAAATGACATTGAGTGCTTAACTTAAACTTCATATTTTGAGTTGTTTTTGTCTCTGGATCACGGAACAAACTATAAAAGGTATAAAATTACCTGAGTACTGCCAGAGTGATCCTGTTGGTTAATATTTACAGTCATGATTTATTTTGACTGTTAATATTTGCAGTCATGACTTTAACCTACATCTGTGCGGTCGGACATTGCAAGTTTTTGTCGGTAGGCCTACCCGTAATTGTAAAATGTGTTTATTTATTATGTGTCCGTGTTGTATATTTAAACTTTTGACGACCTTTTCGAAGTGATAGATGTGTTTCTTGTACAAGATCTGATGATGAGGACTTAAGCTCCTCGAAACGCGTAATCCGTAAGGACCAACAGGATCACTCTGGCAGTACTCAGGTAATTTTATACCTTTTATAGCTTAACTTAAAAAATATACCTCTATGGAGCCAACGACGTTCAACGCTATAAATCAGCTGTGCCCTTGAATTTTATTGTTATGCTTTTAAGAATTTTCCCAAATTTGTTTGTAAATGATAATGATGGACGTTACTGTTAGAAGTTGAGTGAAATGGATAATGAAAAATATTGTTCATAACCTCCTGTATATTGTCGGGTCAGGTAAAATCTTGTACGTTACAAGTTACGCAAGAGCTTGTTTACATTACTTAGGTGAATTATGCAACTCGCTTCCGCTCTTACTACCCTTGTAATGTAAATAGTTATTACATCCATTGCCTATTAATATATAGGATTTTTACAGTTGTCTTTAGTAGATTTATGATTATCATACAAAACCAAACTAACTAAGAAATTTTCATAATTTAAATTAATTCCGTAAGGGGTAATTAATAAAATAAAAATAATATACACAATAAAAATACAACACACAATAAGATTTAACCAGGTTTATACTGCAACTACTAACAAAGAGATCCAAGTGAAATTTACGAGCTTGGCAGTGTAAACTAAATTAACAGCATAAATAAGAAACGGAGAAACGTGCGAAAAATAAAATAGCTAACAAGTAGAGTATTAAAGGTGGGAAAGTTGTAAAGTATGTGAGCAAATTAGAGTTGGACTCGTGGAATCCTAGGAGAGAAAGAGCGCAATAAAGAACGAGGTAAGGGGAAGTTACCCCGACATTTTATAACCTAGTTCTGGTTTTATTTTCGATTAATGTGACTTAAACATTTTGGTGTAATAAAAATCAAGAGAATATCAATGCAGACGCAATCTTCTAGATATACCTAGATGGACGGAACATATTCAGTTATTTTCCAAGTAATACGAAATAATATGTTGAACGATTTTTTTTTCACCTTAAATTTGTTTTCAGGACCGATTTTGATTTTCAATCTCTTGTAACATCTTGATCCATATATCGCCATCTCCGTTACCTTTTTCACCATATTTGTTATTGCAGAATTTGAAAATGACATTAAGTGTCATTGTACAGAAAAAATAGTTTACGTCACACTCCACTGTTTTAACGAACTTTCCACGCAAGGATTTAGTCCAGAAAACCACTATTTGCCGCCAGCTTAATCAAATGGGGTTTCATTACGTTCTATTGTACTGTAATGAGTTTTTACCGTACACCAACCAGCTGATTATATTTGGCAATAAGTGGTTATACACTAAAACATAACCTCTCTTTAGTAATTGTTAGTACTTTAGTCGGTGGGAATATATAAGGATCTGTACAGATTTTGTATTGAAGTTAGCTTAGTATGGCGTAAAATATCGTACGTCACTCGTCTAAAATGTGTTAACCGGTGATTAACCGGAATGTGTTAACCACTCATCCGGTAAACACATATTTTCAAGACTAGTAACGTAATATACTAGTACTTTTAATGTAATACAATTTCAAAAGGTAACTTACAAATCAAAATTAAATCTAATCAATGAGTTGAAATAAATATAAAATTGATTAAGTCATATTAATACGATTTAATGCAAAAAGGTAATTATTCCTACTAGACGCTGATTGCATAGTCCTGTAATATTACCCAGTAGTACAAGCCATAACTTGAGGCTAGGTTGCAATTGCCATCTTGATTGTCGGCCTGGAGTTGTTCTAGTTACATGGTCCAGTGCACACCAGTATTGCCTATCATAGATCATACCTATAATTTAGTATCTGGAAATGGAATTTGCTTGGCTATTTTTTTTAAGTTTTTATATATATTTGGACACAAATATTTTCTTGGCTTACGAGTCAAATCTTATGGCATCGAGACTTCCCAAATTGTTTTAAGAATATTTTGATTTTCCGTCTCAGATTGAACCTGATATTAACCTGGTATGACTGAAATTTTCAGCCAAATTAACATCTCTTATCTATGTTCAATTGCATACCGTAATATATATATTATATATGGGTTCAGAGTTTAATTGTAAATATACCAAGTAGTGTTTATAGACGTATTTTTTATAATCGTACATCCATTCATTTTTAAATATGGATTGCAATTTTTCTAAAAGGAACTTCAAAAAATATTTCTAAGATACTGTATTGTTTAAACGTGTAATACATTTTTTTAATGAAACATTAGATAGTTTTTTTTAAAGCAAGAAACTACTTTTGACTGTTGTTCCAAGGGGAAATCAAAAAGGTAAAACAATATTTCTTTGAAAATGTTTGTAAAATAATATGCTGCTATGTTAGGTGACGTAAGCTTCTTATAAAAAACTATCATATATTATCATAGTAACAAAGAATAATAATACATCAACAAAATAATAAATTTAAAACATTGTTATTTGCCAAACAAATATCACTAATTTAAAAGCATATAAAACAAATTTGAGCATAACTTTTTATAGAAGAAGCTGAAAAAGGAGCAGATATTTTAGCATGTTGTTTCAAATTAATAAATTCTTACCCCAATAGGGTGAAAGTGATAAGTTACTTATTTTATGGCAGGTGACGCAGATGCTATTAGGCTTAAGGCTTTTAAAATGATCCAAACCACCAATATTTGACCGATATCAATTTCGGAATAAAATTCTCTCAATAACTTGGAAATATCGAAGTTCAAGATAAAAAAAGTATTTAAATAAGTAAGAATTATCTAGTAACTTTTATTATTGAAATATACAAGGTTTTCAAATAATGACCAACCTAAAAATATAAATAAAAAAGAAGAAAACGATATCTTTTCAAAATACATGAATATCTTAGGCGTTAGTCAAACAGTCATAATTACCTCAGCTTACTAAGGTAATTATTTAAGAAATGTAACTCGCTTTGTAAATTAAGCATTATCAATTTCCAAATTTACTAATAAAAGTAGTTATTCGTATGTTTGATATTAATACAGCTCCATATCTCAACTATGTAATAATTTTAAAACAATCATAACCTCAGTAGGATTGCAAACTATCAAAATAATATTAGATAGTACAATTAATCCCCTAGGTAATTTAGTCTATCTACAAATCGAGAGTAACCATGTACATGCTCTCGTAAAAAGGACAATTAATATTCAATTTCCTGTTATAGGCCTACTTAGAATTTGTATCTAACAAAGCCTGGTTAGTATTCAACTCTAAAAATTATGGTAGAGTTTGAAAACTAATATTTAGTAATAGTAATTTTACATTTGTTTGTTTTCTCTCCATTTATGGCAATTTGTGATTTTAGAGGCACAAACAAACTGTAATTCCCTCCTATGAATTTTTCCGTCCACCTACATTTTTAAAATAGGAATCCAACATTTAGAAAACTATTTTACACTTGTCTAGTTTCAATACATTTTTGAGAGCTACAATTTAATTTTGACACTGTTGTTTACTTTAACTGAAAAAAATGTTTTCTAGAAATTTGTTATTGATTGCAAGAAAACATTTCAAATTTCTACGCGAAACATTCAAAGCGTCTCGTTTAAGATTTCCTTATTTGGTTCAATAAAATGTGTACCAATCAAAATTGAAATCCTTAAATTCATTTGTCAAAGCCAATACAAACGGATATTCTGAACATTATAATCGGTTTATCAAACTATACAGGTCAAGTTGGTAACACTGGACTCTTGGGATCCAGTCTAGCCACGTCCTCATTTTAGCTGCATCAGTCGTCGATGACTTGGTTTGGAGTTGGATCATGTTTGAAACTAGGTTACCACCTGTGTATTATCCTAGTTGTGGTTAGAATATTGAAAATTCAATTTAAATCATAAAAGTAGAGTATATAGTTTATATTGAATAGGTACTCTCTTTGTTTCTTGAAATATTCTATG